TTTAAATATTCAAAAGAGAGATTTCCCCCCCAAATACTCTTATGCTAGTCCCTTAAAAACAAACAAACAAACAAAAAACAACAACTGAGTAGCAAGGTAGCTGTGGGTGAAACACATTGTAGAAAGTGCTAGTCTTTATGTGTGACTTGGTTCTTGCAGATAGCATGACCAGTCATTTTCCAGTCTTTTTATAGGTCTTTCTTCACCTGAGCAGTGAGGAGGCCCAAGCAGGTTGTAATGGCTTCTGATTTTTACTAGTCACTTTCTAACCTGTTTTGCTTTGCATATTCAGATTTTCAAAAGTTTTCAAAAATTAAATACACCGCCATTATGGTGATTCTTTGGAAAGACCAAGTCTTGGTTCCCGTTTTTTAAAGACTGTGTTTAACGACCTGGAGTTAATTGTCCTAACAGTCGCCCATCAAGGTAATCTTCACAGAAGGGAACTTTCTTACCTCCGGAAAACAGCTTTTTTATTTTCATGTTTTTTTTTTCTTTTAAATAACAGCTAGCAAGAGAAGCTTTTGGGAATATGGCACAAGCCACCCTAAGCTGTCATGAAGGTTAGAACTCAACCCTGAGCCCAGATGGTTGAGAGCAAGTCTTCTAGACACAGAACCATTAGCTTGCTCTTTTCTTTTGTAATTAATGGGGAGGCTGTTTCTTTGTATTAGACCCTTTAATCCTAGTGTTGCTAAATGTTTTACAAACATTAATTAATTCAATTAAACTTCACACCACCACCTTGAGGCAGGTAATTCCTCCCTGGGATGTCTCATCTTTGCGTGTTACAGTATTGTGTATCAGGTATATGTTAGTGTGGATTAGGATAATTAATAACAATGAACCTTTGAATTCGGATCATGTTGGGAAGCTTTACAAATGTTAGATTTGGGCAATGAGGACTGAGGAGGAAGCCTGAGCCAGCTTAACGCCAGCGATGACCGAACGGAATCGATGCGCCTCTTTCTAGTTCTAGAGCATGCTGAGGACGCGTGACCTTGAACAGCTCCTGTGACCTCTTTCTGACTCAGTTCCTACAGCTTTCAAACGGGGGCAATAATATATATTACTCACCACCCGGCCTCACAGAGGTGTTGCAAGGAGGAATGTTGTAATCCTCTGTGAGGCTCTCAGATGAAAGACAGAAATTAACATATGACGAAACATGACTTATCTTCACACCTTCTAAATGGGCCAGGCAAGTGAAATATCAGCATCCTCACGACCTGGCAGAGAAACCAGTGCTACCATTATCCCTACTTAGCAGCTATTACAGACTTCCAGAGGTTGAAGACTGCTCCTGGGATAAAGGAAGGCCAGGCAAGAGATACCAGATCGGCGAAGAGGTAGCTAATTACTTTTCCTTGCTTTTCTCCTGGCACTTCTCTGTCTTACTTGGCACAGAGTATTTGAGGAGAACTGAGTGCTGAGGGAGAATCAGTGAATGGTGCAAACAACCTTCCCTCCTGGACAGCCTTCCCAGATCCCAGTGATCGATGCCAGCGTACAACTCCTCTTTTCTAGAATGGGCTTGGCAGACTTGCTCTCGGCCTCCCTGGTCAACAGTCTCTTTGCTAACCATCTCATTTTATTCAGGACAGCATCCTGTTAACTCCATCCCTTCACAAAGCCTTCCCAGTCTTCCCTCCTTCCCTGAGTTTCCTCCGGCTCTTAGGAATCTTGTATACGATTTGGGATTTTGGTGTTGGCCTTGCTTCCACAGGAGATTTCATTATTGAAGGTCATTTCCCCCTCCAAATATGTAAGGACAAATAGCGATATGAGTTATACAAAATGACGGGCATCATCTGGATGGTCTGGAAGAAGCTTTATTCTTCCTCAGGCACAGGTTGTGTAAACATTCCGTATTAGGACCCGGTTGCTTCAGCATAAGCAATTGTAGCCACTCCTACAACACAGGCTGACAGAACAGACTGTACATATTTATGATGTCACCATTGTTCACTGTGGTAAGTCCAGACCCAGGCCTGGTATTCAAAATCCTGCACGGGATGGCTTTATCTGTGCTTCTTGTCCCATCTTGCTCCCCTTACACCTTGTCTAAGGGCAGTGAAGGAGGAGAAAGTGACTCAGAACAAACATTCCGTGTTTCTCTGTGCCATGGATTCCTTCTTTCAAGGGCTCTTTCCCATGGCCTCTCTCCCTGCCCTGGACCCTATGTCTGCATCTACTAAATAATTTCCTGTCCGCTTTATAGTTCTTTCTCAAATGCTCCCTCCACAGAGAAGCTCTACCAGTCATGAAAGCCCAACACTCATTCTTGCTGAGCACTTTGGATGGGCTAAACAAACCTATAGAAACGGTGCTGTCTTAGTAACGAGGACATGGATTGAGAGAGCTGCATCATTTTTGTTGACTTCAAGTGCCGTCTTGTCACCCGATAATTGCTTTTAAGTACACACGTTACTTATTTTCTGCACAGAGGTTTCCTCATCTGCTGAGTGAGCGTGACCAGCACAGTATCAACCACAGTGCGTATTGTACAGAATGCTTAGAATAGTAACCTCTCCACGGAAGTGCGCGCATGCTAAACGTGCTTCCCTACCGAATCTGCTCTGTCTCTGGGTTCCTGTGTGTAGCTGAGCAGGACCAAGCGAAGGCCAGGGTGCCCACGAACTTGCAGGCACGTGTACAACTTAGATTTGTAACACTGGCACTTTCGAGAGGCCTGAAGGAAATATTGCACTACTGCAGAGTTCTCAGTTCTTTGGGCCATGAGTTTTGATGCATATTGAATTTTTTTCCCACTCCAAATCTTTTTAGTGATTGTAGGGATTTAACTTTCTCCTCACAATCGTCTTAGATATTGTTAAGAGAATTTGTTTGTTGGAGTGAGAGTGCATGCAGCTTCTCCTGTGGCCCCCATTAGTTACTCACTTAGCATCACAACTGATAAGTTGCCAAGTGGATACGGGGTTCTGGTCAGAACGAAACAATCCTAGTACTGCCAGTTCCCCGGGGGAGAATTAAACACATCCCACACCTGCCCATTAGCTCTGCCACTTACCCTACCAGTTTGCAGAAGTTGAGATGCACTTGGAAATCTTTTTGTTTTATTATTTCCTTTGCTCAATATACTAAATGGTTGCTTGTTGAAATACAAACCAGTGAATTGTGGGCTGTTTACAAAGATGCACCATTACTAGTTCTAGACTGTCTTCATTATCTCTACAAAGAAACTATGTTTACATTGTGATTTTTTGTTTTTTTATTAATTTTTTTTCATTTATTTTACACTCCGATGGCAGTTTCCCCTCCCTCCTGTCCTCCAATTCCCTCCTCCTCCCCCATCTACCCCTCCTCTGTCTCCATATGATAAGATACTAATTTTACTTTTATTATTTGGTTAAATAATACTTATGAATTCCAAGAACTATACCCTATACCTACATACACTCAAATATTTATATACAATATTACTGTTACAATGAATTTTCTTAGCTTGCTTTTATTTTTTTTACATTTATCTTATGCTTTATCATTTGCTCAAGAGCTCTCTCTGTCTCTCTCTGTGTATGGTGTGTGTGTGTGTCTCCTTTCTTACACACCTGTATCTCAATCTCTAAGGGTTATTACCATTGTCAAGTTGGAGAGATCAGCGCCATCTGGAAGGGACAGTGTGTGGACACAGAAACCACCCTTTACTGAACATCTTCCCAGGCCCTATTTCTCAAAAACAAAGCTACATGAGGGAGATTCCAGTGTCATTATTTTTACTTTACATGCAAGCAAATAGAGGTCGATGGAGTTTATGTAGCTTGCTAAATCCCAAGGCAGCAAAGCTGCTACTTGGTAAGACCCAAATTTGAGGCCACGTCCTCCAACTTTGAAGTGCATGTCACTAACCACTGTGCTACCTACCAACGGATGCTAAAAATGAACATCTAGTCTAAAAACAGTAAGGATGCTTGGTCAGTGCTGTTAGTACACTTTCACAGGTCACTGTTCCCTTCCCTCAGCAAGCCTGCCATTTCCGGGTTATCAAAGTCAGTTCTCGTAGGTCAAAGGTCACACGGGAAGACGGGCTCAGAGATGTCCCTGTCTTTCTATGCTTCTCCCCACACACCGGGACTCTCTACAGTTATCTCCGACTTATGTTCCAGCTCGCAGAGTAAGAACCTACCTACCTCCTAGCATACTTATTTATCTATTTGAATCTCTACGTTGGCCTGAGGATAACAAATGTGACTTGGTCATTTTATGCTTCTATGCTGAAATAAATTTTGCGTAACTTGTGTATAAATAAAAAATGAATGGGGGGTGGGGTGGAGAGACCGCTCAGTGGTCAAGAGTACTTGCTGCTTTTCCAGAGGACCTGGGTTCGATTCCCAACCCACACAGAGTGGCTCACAAACCCCTGTAACTACAGTTCTAGGGGATCGCCCCAGGCATACACCTGGTACATAGACATATATGCAGGCAAAACATCTATATGCATAAAATTTAAAAAAATCAAAGAAACAAAAAGCAAACACCTCCCCCCAATTTTTTGTTTGGCCACTTGAATATTTTGTTCCTGGATGTCTCTCAGCGCTTACCACAAACATTTGAGCTAAAAAGGATTGCCTAGAATAGTTGATTGCACTTTTTCGCCTTTACTACACGCTTTTCAAGAAAGCAAGCCTAGTTCTATACACACATTAAGTAGAATATTTCTGTTGGTGTGTGCAAAAGGGAAATGCAATTATAAATATCTATTGAGGTGGATTATGAATAATCTGTACTATTTGTAAGCATAGTGAATGAGAACGGTCCTGAAAACCTCTGGATTAGGGATCTGAACGAAGCAAATGGAAACCCAGCGCTGTTAGCCTCCCCACACCCCAGTTCCTTAGTTTCTGGGAATAAAGCAGCGACCTGGGAGTTCTTGAGCCGGCTTCTCCCGAGGGTCCTGCCAACTCCGCATTGTCCGGCTGGATTTGCAGTCAGATGCCTTAGGCTGGCAGGCTGTGGGCAGGCAATGAGTTTTTTTCTCTGTAAGTTGGGTACAAAAAGATCGACATGGGAGTGGCTTCCTCGGAGACTTGAGAGAATGTAGGAGCAGGGAACAGCCAGAAATTCCTCCTGGCACCAAGTGCCCGGGGGAGGAGTCCACTTTGCTAAGGACTGTCATTTGCTGAAAGAAGGTGTGTGCTCAAGAAGGAGTTTTTAACCTGGAGGATCATTAACTCTTTCATTCAGCGACCTGGAGGTGGCTCTGGAGTTGGTCCTGGAAGCGGCTGCAAGCAAGGGTCGAGGAGCAGGAGCAGAGTGCGTTTCCATGGGGGACCACCTTGAGAAGGGCCAGCATGCTTTGCTCAACGAAGGAGACGAGAACGAGATGGTAAGATTCCAGCCACACTCTGTCCCCTTCTCCCAGTCCCCCTTCCCTAGCTTTGCACACGTACACACGTGAACACACTCACACACGTCACCGTATGTTGATTCAGGAATTACAGACTCAAGGAATCTCCCTGTCCCATAATGTAACTTCTGGCGGCACGAATTTGATAGAATGAACATATTGTGTTCATTTTTTTTATCAAGATTGTTTTCATTTGAAGTAAAACCGAAGGGGAGAGGAACACCGGGCTGCTTGATTATTCATTTCCGAGTCTCCATCTGTATGGAAAGTTCTGTCCAGAACTCCCATTTCATCAGGTCCCCAAGGTGAGGACCAGGGTATTCCCTGAAAGGAAAGAACTGCACCCCAAAGGCAAGGCAGCTCGCTGCTGGGTCTTTGACCCCTTTCTTTTCTCACAACCTTGCTGTTCAGCAGGGAAGGTATAAAGCATTAATATTAACCATGATCAGCCTACACACATTTCATTCTACTTCAAAAAACTTACCGCTGTAGAGATTGGTTACAGAAAACTTTGTGTAGTTCACTGTTTTAGAAGTGCTCCTGAAACTTGGGAACTGTAAGAAAATCAAAGATGATTCTGTTCTTGTTGAATTTACAGTGATATTTCTCAATTACAATGCAATCAAGAGAGAGTTAGAGATGTGCACTTCTGTTTAATAAGGTCTTTTTGCTAATTGTGTAAGCATAGCCTTTTATGCCGGTAATGATGCAATTAAAATGTGAAAATGTGATGCTCTCACTCTATAATAGCGTTTTATCTTCCTGGAATTAATATACAAATAACAAACCCGAAAGATATTTACTTAAAATGTTTTCTTGGTTAATTGCTTGAGTCCTGACTATTAAATTCTTTGTTCTAAAACTGGTCTTTCAAGTTTAATCTGCTTACCTGTTTCTATAGCAACAACATTTTTTTTTTTTGGACATTCTGGAACAGATCCCATCTATCAAAGCTGAAAAAAATTATAAAGAAATAAAGGGCACCTTAATTCAGTTGGCTTTCGTAATCATGCCTTTACTTCTTTCAGACTTAACTATCAAGTAACAGTTGCTTTCAAGGCCCTACCCACATGTCACCAGAAATGATTAAGAAAGCTTAATCTTGGCTTATGCTCCTTTCCCCTCCCAAGCATTTCCTTGAGAGATTGAAGTTGAGTCCTTTTCCTCATTTTGAACGCTCTGACCAGAAGGCAGGGACTTCTATGCCCTCCTCCTTGCTCATTTGTAAACGCGCCCATTTTTTCTCCTCTTTCCTCATCTTGACCACACTTTGTCTTTGAAATACCATTATGGATCACCTCTGTTCTTGAAGGCTAACCCCTCCCTAGCCTAACAAATGCTTCAGCTGGAGCAATTTGGTTACTAGTCGGTCTTTGTCACAGCACTGCCAATGGCATGGGGGGGTCAGCCCGGCTTTGTATGCAGCTGGAAGCCCAGATGAGTGCCTTGGCTGGGTAAGGGCTGCTGTGTGTTTTGGTCAGCAGTGTTTCGGACAGTAGGCTCAGCAGAGGTGCAGCATTAGTATGCACCCAGCTCCTTGTCCTGTTCCGACTGCAGAAACCTGGCCACCTGCCTAGTGCTGAATCATTTTTCTCAGCACACTGTTCCTCACTTACAACAGTAAACTTCAAAAGTTGTCCATCATTTATCATCTATCTATCTATCTATCTATCTATCTATCTATCTATCTATCTATCTATCTATCTATCTCACATATTTTTATTCTGGGTTCTGGCACACAAAGTATTTCCATGGCCATTTAGTTTCCACCATGACACTGCAAGGCCAATGGGGAGAGCAATGTACAAAAAGTTTGCCTAAGATTGCCTCAGCCAGTAAGTCCAAGAGCTGGAGCATCACACAGACTAGCTGAAGTTGGTAGTTCTGTGTCTCTGGATCTGCACACAGTCCGTGGATACCTTTTCAAATTTTGCTGGGGACACTGCCTCCAAATAGAACATATTGCTCTTCCTAATAAAGCAAGGGTAAGGAGAATGGCTGATGTTAGATCTCCTAAGCTATGTCGCTTTATAGAATTTGTATTTGCTGAGTCCATTTGTCTCCTCTGACTTGTAGGCCAATCCCGTTTAGAATGCCAAGACTGTCTAAAAATGTGAGACACAAAACTGTTGACAGATTGTTTGTAAATGCCATGAGTGTGGACATTTCCAATTGTAATCCCTCAAATTTCAAGAAAAACTAACAATCTGGAGTTTATCTCTCATATAAAAGAAGAATGTGAATATTCATAGGCTGAGAATAGATAGAATTATCTTTCAGTCCAGAATGAGAGAAGTGGGAACTAAAGAGCAATTGTAGGTGACCTGAAGGCAATATTGCCAAGTGAAAATGAAACCCTAAAAGACAGAAGACCCTGTTGGAGGACAGGAAAGTGCCCTCAGCAAGGCTCTTTAACCAGGCACTTCTCAAAAGGCCTCAGAAAGACTTCTAGAGGGCACACCCTGGCCTTGGACTAGACATTCACCTGCTCAAGCCCTAGTTTCCTTACCTATAAAAACAGGAGTGGTCCTTTTTACCCTACCTGTCTCACAGGGTTCTTAGGAGGAGTAGCTGAGAGCATCCATGTGGAAATGTTTTGAGAAGGAACGATTTTGGGGACTCATGAGCTGTTACTGTTTACAAAAAGGTAGGAGTGACTCCTATCTATACAATTAGCCAGCTGAATGAACACCACTCCATGGCAATAAAGCCACCTTTTCTATTAATGACCAAATAAACATACGTTTCTGTTTTCTGTTGAGATCACTCATAAATGGAGAGGTTGTTGTTCCTTTATACCTGTCTTGTAGGGCTCGTTGAGGGATGGTTCCTTTTTGAGAAGTGACAGTATCAGGCTTCCCGGGAGTTCATGCCCCCACGAATTCCAGTGTTGTGCATTTCTCTTTGGAAATTTCATGGAAGTATTACTGTCCATTTCCTCACACATGACTGACAATGATAAGGTTGATCTGGTCCAACCATTGATCGCGTTAATGAAATCACTCTTTCTGGAGAAATGTTTTATTCTAGCAAGACTTGGAAACATGATGTCCCCTGATGTTGCTCCTAGGTTCTTAGCAAGTAAAGGAAGAGACACTTGGCTGCTTTTCTGATTATAAAGGTGATGTATGTTTGTTGTGAAACTATTGAGATAACTTGGGTCTGAAGAACAAGAAGATATGATCCATTAGTTTACATCTGAACATGATTAATATTGCCATGTTGGTGACTTTCTTTCCAGGCTTATATAATGCATTCCTCAAACCATATCATCTAATGATTGTAGTACATTTTAATATTATTGATATTCTTCTAATTCTGTACACGTGCTCTTGTATTATGGAAATGCCAGGTAGTGAGCTACTGTGTAACTGTACATCCTGTGACAGTGTGTTGGTGCACTGAAATGAACAATGTTAATAGCATTTATGCTACAGAATTCTGTGCATAACTGCAGTAGGCCTTCCATCCTGACCCTGCCAGCACATTGCTGAGCATACTATTTTCTCATTAGTTCCTTCCTCCCTGTCACATGCATCCAGATACAATTTGGGTATTACCTATTGTTTCTCCTATTCATTGTGCCCAAATAAAGTAAAACCAATCACAATCTATCTTTAATGAATGCATACAAATCCTTACAAATATGCACTTTTCTTTTTTTGAGACAGGGTTTCTTTGTGTAGTTTTGGTGCCTGTCCTGGATCTCGCTCTGTAGACCAGGGTGGCCTCGAACTCATAGAGATCCTCCTGGCTCTGCCTCCCGAGTGCTGGGATCAAAGGCGGGGGCCACCACCACCCGACATACAAATATGCATTTTTAAACAAAGAATGGGATCTGTACTCCCTTTTGAAGGCTACCTCTTTTTGTTACAGCTAAAGATGTATGATGCACTATTCTCCTATTGACTCGGCACTGCATAGCCACTACCGTGTTTAACTTGTGTTTATATGATTAGTACCCCATATCTCATGATGCTTACTTGTGAGTCCTAATTTTGCATTGGCTGTGATGGACAACCTTGGGCATTTTTGGACATTGTTCAGATTATTTCCTGAGAACAAATACTCAGAGATAACATTGTAGCCTAAAGTCAATGCACAGTCTAACTTTTGACTAACACACAATACTCCATTTCTCCCTAAAAGCTGTGTTGTGAAATTTATGCTTGGAGCAGCAATCTCTTTTTATGGACATTCTCTCTCTCCTCCACTGCATCCTCCACTATTACTTTTTAATCTTTGGCTCATCTACTCTAGGAAAATAATATTTGATGGTTGTATTAGTTTTGCTTTTCCCTGACGAGGTTAAACATGGTTACTGGCATTTATGTTTTTCACTTAGGACCTCTTGTTTTTGTTACTAATGTTACTAGTACTGCATTAAACATTTAACCTTAAATGTATGCATTTTTAGCTAAGAGAATGGGATTGTTTTGTTTTGCTTTCAACATGATGCTCACTGCGAATGAGTGGGGGTGGTGTCCGAGGGTGTGCATGGGAAAGGGAAAAGGCACTCACAAGGACAATGTGTTTGGTGGTATGCTGGCAAATATTTCACGCAGTTATTATGATAAGTATGAGAAACTAAAACTAATGAATATGGAAATGCAGGAGACTCCTTTTCAACGTCCAGGTCATTTCTGAGTGCCTGGCCAGATGCGAGTCTTGCAAGTCGCCTAGAGAGGTAGCGGGTGGTATGTGGGCTGAGCCACACTGGCAATCCCACTGTGCCATCACCTGTGAGTTGGGGCTGTTGGTCCTCACCAATTCTTTGGCTCACCCTGATAGCTGATGTTTGTGTTTCTTCTCTAACACCCTGGAGCAGAAGCCGCTCCCCCTCCGACTTCACGGCCGCTTACTTATTATGCTTCATGAGCACCTCTGAGATGCTTGCCAATGTTAACTAGTGGGCCCACAGATTGCATAGTGGAGGAATTGTGTTCAGGCTGAGACATTTTGTCAGTTGAAATGTTCAG